GCTCATCACGGTCAACGCGTCCGGCGAAATGGATGAGTTGAAGCGGAAGATCAACAAGATGGTTTCCAACCTCCGAGACAGTATTCAACGTAACACGGCTGCCAGGGAAGCTGCAGAATTGGCCAACCGCACCAAATCCGAGTTCCTTGCGAACATGAGTCACGAGATTCGGACGCCCATGAACGGTATCATCGGGATGACGCAGTTGACCTTGGACACTGATGATCTCAAGCCGTATACTCGAGAGATGTTGAATGTCGTGCACAACCTGGCAAACAGCTTGCTCACCATTATTGATGACATACTCGATATCTCCAAGATCGAAGCGAACCGTATGGTGATCGAGAGCATCCCGTTCACCGTGAGGGGAACCGTCTTCAACGCCCTGAAGACGTTAGCCGTCAAGGCCAACGAGAAGTTCCTGAGTTTGACGTACCAGGTGGACAACACCGTTCCTGACTATGTCATCGGTGATCCCTTCCGTCTGCGGCAGATCATCCTCAATCTTGTCGGCAACGCCATCAAGTTCACCGAGCACGGCGAGGTCAAGCTCACTATCTGCAAATCTGATCGAGAGCAGTGCGCGGCAGATGAGTATGCGTTCGAATTCTCCGTCTCCGACACAGGTATCGGTATTGAGGAGGACAAGCTAGACCTCATCTTCGACACCTTCCAGCAGGCCGACGGATCGACTACCAGGAGGTTTGGTGGAACCGGTCTTGGTCTGTCCATCTCCAAGCGCCTAGTGAACCTGATGGGTGGTGATGTTTGGGTCACTTCGGAATATGGCCATGGCAGTACCTTCCACTTCACCTGCGTGGTCAAACTGGCGGACCAGTCTTTGAGCGTCATCGCCTCGCAGCTGATGCCGTACAAGAACCACCGTGTCCTTTTCATCGACAAGGGCGAGAATGGTGGCCAGGCCGAAAATGTGATGAAGATGCTCAAACAGATCGACCTAGAACCGTTAGTGGTGCGGAATGAGGATCATGTCCCTCCGCCTGAGATCCAGGACCCGTCCGGCAAAGAATCCGGCCATGCCTATGATGTGATAATCGTGGACTCGGTGGCCACTGCTCGGCTGCTGCGGACGTTCGATGACTTCAAGTACGTTCCTATTGTCTTGGTATGCCCGCTGGTCTGCGTCAGTTTGAAGTCTGCCCTCGACCTCGGTATCAGCTCCTATATGACCACGCCCTGTCAGCCGATTGATCTCGGTAATGGTATGCTGCCTGCTCTTGAGGGACGGTCTACACCCATCACTACGGACCACTCCCGGTCGTTCGACATCCTTCTGGCGGAGGACAACGACGTCAATCAGAAGCTGGCTGTGAAGATACTCGAGAAACACAACCACAACGTTTCTGTCGTCAGCAACGGTCTCGAGGCTGTAGAAGCCGTAAAGCAACGGCGCTACGATGTTATTCTGATGGATGTCCAGATGCCAGTCATGGGTGGCTTCGAAGCCACTGGCAAGATCCGGGAGTATGAGAGGGAAAGTGGTCTCAGCCGGACACCGATCATCGCGCTAACTGCACACGCCATGTTGGGTGATCGAGAGAAGTGTATCCAGGCCCAGATGGATGAGTACCTGTCGAAACCTCTGAAGCAGAACCAGATGATGCAGACCATCCTCAAATGTGCTACGTTAGGTGGTTCCCTTTTGGAGAAGAGCAAGGAGTCGCGCATCTCAAGTAGTGGTGAAATGCACCCGGTCCATCACAGTGGGCCTGATGGCAAGAGCCAACAGCGCCCGGGTTTGGAACCTCGATCCGTGACCGCGACCAGTACCATTAATCGTGGTGGTGGCCTCGCAAGCCCAAATGACCGAGCGGATGAGCTTGCCGTCGAAAGGGTGAGTCTTGCACCTGCACAGTTGCGAAAAGGACCTTTGTCATACTAATGGGTTCTACCAGGCACTGCTGCGGTCCAACAGCTCGTGAGACGCTCTCAAGATATCCTTTCGCTTGTTTTCCTTTCATCTTTCCGAATGGCTTCGATGCAAACCTTATACCCTATCTCTTTATGCTGCGCCTGTAAGAAATGTTCTTTGGCCTGGTGACCTATTCTTGGCACCCCATCTCGTTTTATTCCTCTCAGTTTCCCTTCGGGAAAACTTACATCTTATGTCCCACCGCATACGCCGTCCGCTTTCGCTTCGTTTCCCCAGCTTCTCGGTCGATTTTCCTGCTTTTGCATACGTTTGTCGCTGGTAACATTGTCGACAGCCGAGCCATGGCATTTCTCATTTTGCCTCTCTCTTCTTCCCTTTCTCATCTGCCTATACTATAGTGTGTTTTGATTTCGGTTGTTACTGTTTATGCCAGTAAACCTCTGGTGTAAGGTGTTTGGCGCAAGGAACCACAGGCGGGGTTTCTCCATATAAACCTGCGGCATGGAATGAAGACAAATACAGGCGAGTCAAGCAATGGTCAAGGGAGCCAGCATCCTTCTGCTTTTGCTTGCGGAAATTCTCTTGCATATGTTCCAGTTATTTGCCCGGCAGCTCTTTTTTCTCTTCTCATCTAAACTCGTTCCCCCTTCTAACGCATGCTTTTTGCGACCCGAGTCATCTTCTCCTTCCTATTTGTATTGTATTTAATCTTTTCACACTAGCAGATGAGCCCCTTGGTTGGGGATCAGGAAGACCTGAATCAGCCATAACTTTTCCTTTTCTTCTACTATTTTTCATTTTCACACTGTCGGCGTATGCCGACACTCTTCCCTTGTAGTAGGGACGTTGGTTTAAGGAAGTCATATCTTCTCGTGGTATCTATTAGAGCAAAAGCAATTAGGTAGCTATGTAGCTAAGTAGGTAGAACCAGGCGCAATCTGAATCATTTCATCTGGAGTTAACACAGTACACTTTTTATTTCTTTGTCCTCACCACCAGTCAGAGCACACACACACACACACACACACACACACACACACACACACACAGACAGAGAGAGAGAGTGTGTGTGTATGTGTGAGACTCCTACTATTTACCCACCACGAAACATTCTAAGAACGACTGCCTACGTAGGTACCTACCTTCTATACCCATTATGCCTCCCTCAAAAGAACGAACGAATGAATGAAGTTTGAACAAAACCCAAGACCACTTACATCTAGCTAGCTAGACGTAGAAAAGAATGAGAGATAGTATACCAAGCAACCAACAAACAATTTTTGATTTTATCCCCTACTCTCCAAACTTTCAAAAGATGTTACCTAAACTACTAACTTAGCAAATACTTCACCCCCTTTTCGTCCCCATCTCCCTTTAACTAATTCAAATACCCATTTTCGTTTTCCCCGCTCAACGCCCACCAGTAGGCTTCGGCTTCAACGGCGGAACCTCAATAATCCCCGTAGCGTTTGCCGCGAATCCGCGCTTGATCTTGGATTTCTTGGTGGTGGTTGTGGTGGTGGGGGTAGTCTTGGATTCGGTTGTGGATGTAGATGTAGAAGTGATGCTTGGGTCCTGGGAAGACTTTGTGGTGGCTTGTTTCTTGGTTTTGGTTTCAGAGGTTGATGTGGAGTCACTAGCTGTAGCTGTAGCTGTAGTTGATGGGTCCTGGGATGGGTTCTCTGTGGTGGTAGAGCTGCTGCTACTGGTGGACTTGTCTGCTGCTGAAGAGGAAGACGGAGATGAAGGGGAAGGCAGAGTGAGAAATGTGGATGATGATGGATCGGTGTCGGTCTTTGTCTTGGATGTGGCATCTGTAGTAGTGCTATCGCTTCCCTTTGAGGAGGTCTCAGTTGGAGAGGGGAGTAGGATGGCAGGGGTAGACGTGGCAGTAGCAGTTGCAGATGCAGATGGGTCCGCGGAGTCAGTCGTCTTCTGGGTTGTTGTCGAAGTAGCAGTAGGGACTGAAGTCACGGATGTCTTAGTGGAAGTAGTGGTTTGAATGGGCTTTCGAATGAACGAGGGGCCATTTCCATTCCCATTGCCATTGCCATTGCCGTTTCCATTGTCAGTATCATCATCGTCGTCGTCGTCGTCGTCGTCATCATCGTCATCGTCGTCAGCACAGCCAGACACTACGGCGCCAGTGGAAGAAGGAGAGGCCACGCAGGTAGGCAGGGCTCTGATGCTGCTGCTGGTAGGCTTGATGACAGAGGCAGAGGCACTAGAGCTAGGAACTGCATCTGTAGCGCGAGCCTCGAGGCCCTTGTCGGCGGGGCCGATGGTTGCGGTGACGCCGGCGCAGGGCAGCGAGATAGTGATGGTCACGGTGGCTGTGATGCCAGGGAAGCCGGGGATGCTGGCGGCGCTCACGTCCCCGGGTTGGCCAGGGGCTGCGGTGGGAGCGGGCACGCTGGCTGCGGCGTTGCCATTGTCGACGGTGTCGACGGGGGCGGAGAGGGCGGCAGACGCGAGAGCCAGGGCTAGGATGGTGGTGCGGAGGTACATGGTGGATTGCTTTCTTTTTTTTGTGTGTGGGTTTAGTATAGAAGAAGGAAAAGAGAGAAGGAGAGGGGTCTGTGAAGGAAGAGAACAGAATACAATTGACCTGGCTTGAAGCGTCGCAGATGAAGAGGAGATTGAAGAGGGCTTATATAGTCATGTGAAAGGTAACGGCATGATGCTTGATAGATGTCATGGGCGTTCTAGACGATGATGTCGCTATCATGGTGACGCCGCACACCAGAGATTCAGGGCCTATGGTCACCTCACGATTGGTCTTGGTGGTTGTTCTAGTCGGTTTATTTTCTGGGCTAGAAGGTAATATGCTACTCGATTTGATGGGTCCATTGAGTGATTTTGTAAGGATTAGACATTGATGTGCGGCAGATAGCCACAGGCCAGGGCTTAAGCTAAGAGTTTTGACGGTACCATGTCTGGACCGCTCTAGATTCCATGTCTTGACATGCCATGGGGATCGTTAGGTTCGTGAGTCTATTAGACAAGAGTGGGTAAGTTTTTGTTGTTTCTTCCGTCAGTAGCGGCAGGTAAATTGCTCATTTTGTCGCATAGATAGTCATGGATGCCCGAATCGGATGTTATTCCCTCAGTATATCGCTAGTGGGTGACGCCAGCCAACGTGAATTACCTTGACCAACGTGACGCAGACGAGGCCAAGAGCGTAGCAGCAAGTCGTGAAGGTAATCAAGCCCCAATACTCGCCATTGCATCGGGACAGGATCTCTCCGGCGATTGGAATGCCCGTAAGCGTGCTGTAGAAGGTTGTTAGCTCATACTTGTGGAACCCTTACAGGTACATGGCAACCTACCCGAAACTCACAATCGTGTACGCGGTAGCATAGTACCTGCCGTAGTTCTCGATCTTACACAGCTGCGAAATGCAAACAGGGGTCAGACTGATGTTGCTGCCGCTTGCAAAACCAAAAATAACGCAGTACACAACCATGACAGGTACACTGTTGCCGGCCGGAAGCCAGAGACACGCGTTGCAGACGAGGCATAACGCAACCGTGGCGATGAGCGTATTGAACCGTCCCAAATAATCGGCCACAAACCCAGGGATCCCTCTACCGAAGAATGAACCCGCATTGAGGATCGCCAGGATCTGGTACGAGAATTTGGAGGAAACGCCATGAGCCAACGCATAGGAAGAGATGTAACTGATCGGAATGAAGAGGCCCCATTCGATGAAGAAGACGCCAGCTGTGGTAAGAGCGAATTTTGGCTCCCGGAAAATACGAAAATCGGGCAGCATGTTCTCCTTTACAGCGGGCTTTTTGGGCAATCGAGACTTGATCAACAAACACGCAATGGCCACTGAGATAAGGCAAAGAAGCGCAACCACCCGGGTTGCCCATGCGAAACCTATCTTGGGGAACAAGGCCTCCAAGGTAAGAGGAAAGACAACCCCTCCTACGGAGCCACCTGTGGCAGCAATGCCAGTTGCAACGCCACGTTTCTCGTTAAAGAAATGGCCGATCGCGGCGATTGCGGGGGTGAAGATGAGCGAGGCTCCAATACCTCCAGCGACACCGATGACCAGCATGAAATGCCAATACTGGGTGCAGAAACCCAGAGCTACCATCATGACGATGACCAGTATGGCACCCGAAAAGACCAAGAATCGAGGACCTTTGGCGTCGAAGACTGGACCTATCTGTACACCGCAGAAAAAGGTCAAAAAGGCGTACATGCCAAAAATCCAGCCTGTGGTTCCAGAGCTGTATCCTTTCAGCTGGTGATCCTCAATGTAGGCCTGGAAAGTTCCAATGGTGTTCACCAAGCCAAGGGAGCCAAAGAGACCCATGAAGCTACCAAAGACAACTAGCCAGGCCTCTAAACCGCCTTCAGGATAAGTGTTGCCATCTGCATCCGTTGTGACTCGAGTCATCGGGGCGCTGTGTGCGGAGCTGTCTGAGCCAGACGCTCCAGACGAGGGTCTCTGGAGGCCATCTTCAAGAGTAGTCTCTGCCTGTGGTAGGCTGCGATCGTGTTGGACGCCTGTATGAGAGTGTTCCTCCGTCACGTTGATGGCTGGACTTGCATCATGAGATTCATGAAACTCACGAATGTCGGTTGTACCATCCAGGACCTTTTCTCCAAACTGGGGAGAATCTGTACAATGAGAACCGAGCAAGGTTGGAATGTTGTTGCTTTCACGGGTTCCGTCCGTCTTTTCTATGTCTAAATCGACAGAAGACCTCATTTTATCGCCCTCCCGACAATTAGAAAAGGTATCGAGCTACCGCAGACCGTTCGGCTATAAGGGGCCTAACCGTATGTGCGTGATATCACCCCTCTATTTGCAATGCAGGATGAGCGGGGGATTGCCGGCTAATGAGAAACACAGAAAGAATTTTAAACCCAAGGATACCCACAACCAGAGGACAATATAGAAGTCAGAGGAGGTATGAGGAACTAATCCGAGCATACGGCTACCCCCATGAGCCCAAGTCTGACTGGATGCCAAAGTGGCGATGAGGAAGTGCTCTGATATGATCGGGGAAAAAGGTTGAAAAAGCACAATTGGAACCACAGGGTCTTTAGCAGCCCTGTTAGCTCCGCAGTGGAGGCTTTTCCCTTCCGGTGCGTTTCCCTCGGCTGCTCCCAGTAGCGGGAATCTTTCCCATTGGCGAACCGTCGGCCGGCTGGTGGACACTCTGGAAAGATTGTATTTAGGGCCGGTGTTGTTCGTGTATACCTTGATGAAGTTGAGATGTTGCGTAGCCACCGATTACTTGGAAAGCAATTTCATAAATAAGAACACACCCATAGACTTAATCGCGGCGTCGGCCTGTTAGTGTTCGGATGTAAAGGGGAAGCTGCTCTGTGAACCACTTATTCCCTTGCTCACCAGCCATTTTGCAAACATGTATAGGTAATGTATCCTTTACAATAAAATCATGTAGGGAGTCAATGCTGGTCAGCCAGAGAATGTCTTTAGGCATTGTTTGATTGAGTGAATGGAACCCACCAGAGCAGCCGGAGGTCGTTTCTTTCAATTTCCACTTTTGGAACCCTAACAAATCGCTGCCGTCGGAGAAGACCTGACGGATTCAGTTACCGGAGGGCACAGGGCATCAAAAACCCGTGGGAAGCGATAGTATCTTGTCTAATCCGATGGCCGGTATTGACTCTGAAATATTATTTTGTTCTCTTTGATACACTGCATGGCTGTTACAGACAGACTTTACGGCAAAAGTAGTGTGAAATATTTCGCCGAGTGTCTATCTCTGGTTTTATCCAATTCGAAAACCACGATTACTCACTCCCCCTTGGTACTTGAGGTCCTTCATTGTCATTCTATAAACAGGGTAAAGTAGAATATCCTATCAGTAACTATGTTGCTGTAGACTTCACGTACCCGGCTCGGTAGCTCACGAGAATCAGTTAAGCATCCACAACGTGATACAATTCTTAATTTCTGCTTTTCTTCTCTTTTCTTTTCTTTTACACATGAAATTATAGATGGGCGGCTGATGTCCAGCTATAGACGGTATGTATTGGTTGTGCAAATTGAAGCTAAAATCGTTGTATTTCAGGTGAGTCCATTGAGATGCAATCTCCTACTCAGAGGGTCCTTCGCGGTTCATCCAATCTATAGGGAGGCCCTAAGGGTGCACCCCACTTATAGGATTCGCCAATTTCCGCATTATTCCAGCACGCACGTTCCTTGAGATAACAAGGGTCGAGATTCGCAATTTCGGCTGCGTGCATCGCTTTCTCTCGATAGTAACGGATTGCTCGTCCACACTCGTCGTACCAGATGATGAGGACAGTCCCTGCGTCAGCGCCTTCGGAGGCCAACGTTTTTTCATCAACGACGTAGATGTGTCCCGCCGCTAAACGGAAGAGGTACTCCGAATAAAAGCAAATCCAAGGGTTGCCATCCTCCTCTGGGTCATAGCCGCTTTCCTCGGCACGATGGGGATCCGTCTCGTCGGATTCAATTCCCTCTTCTAGGGCCTCCTGAACATTCTATTCATATTCTTCAAACAAACAAGTATTATCCAATAGCTGTGGGACACGAAGAAAGATCTTCTCCCAGTTGGAACCAAAGTTATACAAAGATGAGTCGTTGAAAACTGTAACTGGGCCGCCGACCTTGGTATCGATGTAATCTTGAATCCGGGCCCACAAGCCTTCTGTAGAAGGGTCGTAGCAGGTGCGGAGCCAACATGGATCTTCGTTCAAGTCACGCTCAGCAGGTAGGCGGATACGAGCCAGTAGCTCTTGACTAGGTACTGGAAGGCCTCGAACAGACCTCTTCTCTAGTCTTCGCTGCTGGTTTCGATACGGCTAACTTGATAGGTTAGTTTTCTGGTTGGAAGAATGAGAGGCTAAAATCAGATTTACCTCGCGGCCGCAGACTCCGAGTGCCACGTATTTAGCGAATATTTCCTCGCGTTGGGCTTCAACGGATAGCGGCAAATCTTTCTGTTAATGCTCCTGGAATATCGTCAAAACATGCATATAATCGCTGGGTAAGAAGTCTTACCAAAAGGAACAGATCAGCCTGCCAGGCCGTAAAAGTTGACATCTTGCAGACTATTCTGAAGGATGCTGGTGGGACAGAGTGAGAGATCTATCCAAAATCATCTCGGCACTTAAGACCAGGAGATGAGATGGCTTTCTTGGCAAGGGCTTATCCAAGGTGAAGTGGGAGATATCTTACAGTCGATGGAAGCAATTATGCAAGCAAAGCGAAGTTTGAAATGAAATTGGGAAATCGGATTTGAGTGGAAAGAAGACAAAAGAAGTGAGGGTGAAAAAATAAAATGGATTTGAAGATGGGATAAGCTTAACCCATAATAAAGGGTCCGCCCCATTATAATAATGCGGTCCGCTAAAATTAGCTTAGTAAAATACTCCAAGCTTGGTTATATAGTTAGTATTTAGACTGCCATAACAAGTATCTTGTTTTATTCATCTTACTCTATACTCTAGATAGTCAATAAAATATATTTTTACCGTATTCTTTTACTTTCTTTTGCTGTTTTGCTTGCTTTCTTTATATAGCGCGCCTCAACATAATGCATTGTTCTCTGTGAATAGTTATCGAGAGCTGAATTGATCTTCATTGGCTTGAAGATAGGGTTTTCGTGCAGCGGTTTGAGGTCTATATGGGTAAAACCTATAAGCATCGACGACAAATAGGAGATCAAGAGCGCATTGCCCACTTCTCAGCTGCTGATATCGCTATGTATATTTCCGAGGAAGTATAATGAAGAAGTGGTCAGGAATTAATGTGAAGGGGTCAGTGTCTCAGAATCCCGACCCTCTTCAAGATGACCTACTCCTCTGAGGTTAAGAAGCAATCTCTTACACTCTTAATAGCCCTTAGACACCCAGGGTCAGGAAATCTCAAAGGAGGGTCAGGATCTTGACACTCCGACCCCTTCGCATTAATCTCTGACCCGAGGAGTGCATATTGTAAACCTGATTTGTATGACACTGAAACTAAGTTTTGAAAACCACCATAGTCTCATTGTTATGTTGCTTATTTACTTGTTTTTTCCTTCTCCTTTTCACCATCCCGCTTTGAAAGCAGCTGAAGCCGAACGTTCTATTTACACTTATGGCCAGATATCAAACCCAATCCGATCTACCTGGTGGATCATATTTCCTCTAAATCTAGAATGAGTTTATTAAACGAACTCTTTCACATGCACATACAAAGTATTACTTTGTACGTACAAATCTTTCTAGGTGCTCTATGCATTGGGACCTGCAGTTCGAACCACCAAGATTTGCCATTAACAAACCTGCATGGCGGGAATGCGGTGTGACACGGACGCATAAAAGCATGGCCAGGTCGTATTGAGAGAGAAAGTTCGAGAGACACATTCGATCTCTTGTATAAGAAGAGGCGTTTCCCTGCTGGTTTGATCCTCTAGACAATCGTTCTACACCTATATCTGTTTCGTCGACTTGCTTGTTCGCCTACTCATCCCTACACTTGAGTTGAGTTTATCTATCTCGTCTCAAAACATGTCGAACCCATATTATACTTCGAGCTCTGCGAGAAACAACTTGGGCAACACAAATCCATGGGCATGGACAAACGCGCCTTGGACCCAGAGCAGTAACGGGAACAGCTTCTCTTGGAGCAATAACTGTGGCAACACGACATCGAACAATTGTGGAAACACCACCAACACAAACTGCGGGAACACAGTGACCTACAATAATAACGGCACCAAGACCTTTCATACCGGAGACATCACAAGCAACGGCAGTGGTGGAAGCGCTACCACAACAACCACAACTACGGCGGGTCGGAATGATTCATCGACTGTATCGGGAGGAAATGGGTCGGGAGGATCCATATCTTTGAGCTGAGTGTTTTTGGGGGGATCAGTCGATTGATTGGCCTCTCTGCTGAGGGGATGGGGCGGGAATACGACAGCAGCGCTTGTGATTAGGGTGGTGCGGCTGAGTTGCTGTTGATTCCCGCAGTGAGACTGGTCCAAAATTCGTAGTTCTGTAGCTAAATTTGAAAATACTATTCCTATACTCGGACTTCGGATATTGCCTGTTGTTCATTACCTACTCGACAGGTCGGCTTGTGAGACGGTGCCTACCAATGTGTCTTGTCAGCCAGCTCTGTAAATCAGTTCTCAATAACATATGGAGTGTTCACAAGAGTAGGCTACGGCGGGGTTGAATGGAGAAGGAGGCCATCGCATTGCATATAATAAATGAGACTGTAGATCACTTGGAGTGCATCGGACATCTATCTCTCCTTTGAGTAATCCGGGAAAAGAAATAACAGTTTAGAATTGCCTGGCAACCCACCGACAGGTCGGCCTTTGAGACGGTGCCTAGTATGATGTACATTATTCGCCAGCTCAGCAAATCATTACTGATCACATATACTACACACGAGTCAGGTACTACTGCGGGGTCGAATTTGACCCGTGTGACATGTTAAAGTGCTGATGCCTAAGAAGGACTTCACATTGCATAGACATGGTACATGTCTGTAAATTACATGGTGATACTGTTATTACTGACTATATCTACTCCATGCACACAAAGATTCTCTTGCATGGAATGTCGATTTCTTCTTTGGGTAATCCCGAAGAAGAAAGATAATTAGGGTCTAAAATTAACCCTACTGTAGGTGATGTGTCGCCTGGCAACCCACCATCACCATATCTCAGGCCGGAAAGATCAGCTGCAAAGTACAATTCAATTGACCGATGAAATCCCGACGTCCTGCCGTCAATTTCTTTGGTCCATCTAGAGGACTGTTATTGGCTTTTACGCCACCCTCAAACTGCACGTCAGAGCCGACTGGAAAGGCATGTCAGGCCGAAATAGAGCCTTAGATGGGGCGCAGATTGCAGATACGGACACGGTGGCTATGAAAGGAGTAACTATAGTATGTACGTTCTTTGAGGATACGTTGAGCCCCGATAGTAGTTTAGGATAGGGTAGGTAAGGCAATGGAGCCCATTCCTGGCTATAAAAGCTTACTTTCTCCTCACCCATGTCCCTGGAATAAGAAGCGACTCTACCTCAAAGAAAGCAATCGCAATACAACATATCAAACCTTTTCGCTGGGTCTAAATCAAGACTCACAACACAAACCCCAATACACGCTTTTCCCAGCCAAAATGGGGAAGTACGACGAAGCCAATGAGATCAAATTCATCTGCGTTATCAAAGGCGGCGAGTGCAGACCCTCTATCTAGTCACTCAAGTTCAATAGTAATAATGATAAGGACCCAACAGCCGACGACACCGACAGACGCGTCGAAGTGGAGCAAATGGATGACATGACACTCCGACAGTTACAGGCCTATATACAGTCCACTCAAAGACTCAGGGGAGAACTGATTCTTTACCACAACCACAAAAAGCTCACCAACCTGTACGCTCCGATTGGAGAGGTTCTAAAACCCGGAGACACTCTGGTCATCCAGAACAACACCAAGGCAATCGTCGCCACTGGCGGCTTTGGTATGGGAGGCGAGGCGGAGTCCAACAGCAGCAAGCAAGCCGTCGCCCTTGGAGGCCACGCCACCGGCGGCATGTTCTACCCATCGGGGAACTCCAAGGCAGGCAGTGGAACTGGAGGAGATGCCTGGGGGGATAGTGGGGCGGGCGGGGATGGCTTTGGCGGAAATGCGAACAACGTGCATGGATCAGTGAGGGCGGGCCTAGCGGTATCGGGGAATTTTCATAAACATGAGGAGCACCGATCGATGAAGGAGAGGCTCTTTAGGCGTTAAATAGGGCAAGATTTTAGATTTAGTCAAACTCAATTGTGGCTTGGCTTATATTTAGCCAGTGTAGCCTTTCCTCCCCGAGCATTTCCTCCCCGAGCATTCTTTCCACATGCTGAACCTCCCTCAGCGCCCCCTGCAATGGCGTGGCGGTATCCATTGGCACTTCCTCCGAATCCGTGGCCCCCGAGAGACTCTTCCAGGCTGACCGAAGCCTCCGTAATCCTGCCACCCGTGCTATCCCCGTAGTCTGCGTAGCCTCCATCCCCAGATCCCGCATTGGCCTCGTAGGTCGAGGGGTTTGGGCCTGGCAAACCATCAGGAACTATATCGATGGAAGGGGCTAGTTACATATTAGCGTTCATTGCACGGGTATCTTTGGAGGCAAAACATACTCGGTTTTCCGAATGAGATGATCTCTACCAACGCAGCCCATACCTCTCTGTAACGTACATCGTCGTCTCCGCGGAATTTGCAAATCGTACGGTGGTCGGATCCTTGTAACATCGTCGCAACCTCGCTTAGCTGATTCATTTGCGCAGAATATGGTTGAACCACCTGAATCCGCGATGTCAGCTACCGGTGGTTTCATCTGACCGGGGGAGGGCGTCTCACAAGTAAGCCATTCAGCCGCCGGTCTTCGTAGAATGTCCTAATCTTCAAGTCTTTGGCGGTTTGAACAAAGTCCTCGCTGATTTCCTGGCAGGCCGGGGAGTCTTTACGAAGGTCCTCTACGTAACTGGACCTCTTAAAGGGGCCCAAAAGCCAGGACCCCCAGCCTGCCACGGATGCTAGACCCGCGCCATGGTGCGGTACGCCCAGGAAGAGACATCCTCGTACGCTGCTGGAAAGATGCTCATACCGTTTATTGTGAATCGAAGAGGCAATATTCAATGCCTATGCAGAAGCCGGTATTCAAGTCAGAATGTCTATATAGGCCCTTTGTGGATAGATGGGAATTCTGGGGGAATCAAACAAGGAGAAAACTACCTTCTTCACAACCAAGCCACCCAAACTATGAGCGATGAAAACAATACCGAGGGATTTGTGCTTCATTTCGTTCATTTTCACGTACAGTCCTTCCAACAAGACCTTTGCCACTTGTCTGATATTTTCGGTCGACTCGGTGGACATCAATTTCGCGGCATACGAAAATGATAGGACTCGTGATTTGATGCCCCTTTCTTGTTGAAGCCTCGGCTCGATTGACGATCGAACCCAGTTCCATCCGTTCGTCTCACACTCCCATGTCTTGAGATAGTCCCCGCCAAGTCCATGCACGGCAACGATGCTTCGACTCCATTAGCCTGGTCGCGATGGAAGTCGAATGTTTCTAGCACACCTACACAGTTTCTGCCTCTTTATCTCCACTCATATCATACAGTCCAGGAGACGACATTTTGCAATCCCGTAGATTCTCCGGCTAGCTTGTGAGTATGGGCATGATCAGCGACGCGGCTGAGTTTAAGACGAGAGACATTTTCAAGAGAAGAAAATTATCAACCCCGCGAGGTACATAACATCGGGCAGCCTTGCGTTGAGGTCGACATTTTCCTCGATGATGAAAGATACACTCGAGCGGAGTCCCCGAGCCAATGATTCCCCGCAGAATACCTTGTCCAACCGGAATATCGCCATGAACAAGGCGCAATATGACCCCCTCCTCCTGAAGCAGACGCTGCGTAAGATTGCATATGAGAAGCATATTTGCTTATTTCCTTTTCCTTTTACTTTTTCTATCTCGTATAGAAATATCTTTTCTTTTCTCAACTCTTCCTTTTCTTTTCTTTTTTTTTTACACCCACGCTAGATCCGAGGTGCAGATCACGTAGTCTAGATGTTGATCCAAGCGAAGTACGTTTTTTCCTCCTACAAAACATGCCTACGATAGCTGGAACCGATAATGCCCCGAAGCAACATAAATACTCCTTCTTTCCCTGCCTCCACAGTAGTTTCCCAAATCAAACCAACTATCTACTGCTACCTATCGCTACGCGAAAAATCCTAGCTACCATGGCCGCTCCCAACCGCAGACCCGAATACGATACTTCTGGCACCGGTGGTAATGCTGATGCACATTATGGATACTGGAGAGGAAGCGGCCAAGCTGTCACCGGCGGTAACGGCACCGGTGGTAACATTCAGATGCCGGCAAGCCGTGCGGATGCCAACATCAAGATGACAGGGACGGGAGGCAATGCCAGAGCGAATGCCGGGGGCGCTGCAAAGGGTGGCGATGCAAGGGGTGGCAACCTCACAATCACTTGATTTGTTTTGAAGATGACTGCAGGTAATAGGATATTGTCTGTCTGTCTCTTGGGAGACGCTTATATTAATGGCATATAGGGCTATCTCATTTTCCACTATTTGAGCCGAACTTCTTGCTTTGTCGCGGCACAAGAGTACACAGGATCATGGGTCTGATTCTATAATCATGTAGGGACAGTGCGCGAGGAAACAGTATTGAGAAGCTGTGACAATCTCTTTTATTCGAGTAGCATGATATAAGAAAACCGAAACATTACCTTTGCTCCACTCTGCCTACACAGTACCTGCCTTATTATCTCTACTCTACCGTAAAGTCCAGCTGAGGACATTGTGAAAATCTTGTCGATTATTTTACCTGTGCCTAAAGATAGGCTTGGTCAGAGATATGACTAGGGCTAAGATGAGACAAATCCACAGCTTCATGCGGGTGTCATCAAACCCCGCTATATTCATAGCAATTCTGTCACATCTCATGCGTCGGGCAGCCTTGCGTTCGGGAACGACTTGCCCCCATTGAAAAAGAGATACACTCGGGCAGTTTTCCTTAACTGATGATTTCCCCATGAACACCTTGACTCCGTGGTGATATTTCTCCAAGCCCTAAGGTATCCTGCGAGACATTAGTTGGGGTGTAAGAAAAAATATTAAGGAAGGAGGGATTTTCTCTACCAAAAAGACGTGCCCATGGTTGGATGTAATTGCGCTCTCAATGATATGCGTCAGATGCAAGACGCCGCCGCCAGTGCGAGGCAGCCCAGCTAGTGCACGCTAGGTAGTAGCTCCGTCACACGCAGTGCAGTGTACCCCTCTTTGATAAGTACAGCTGAGTTGGCACGACCTTCAGCCTCTGAATCATATTTCTGGGATTGACGGGAGTCCAAATAGGGTATTCCGCATCGGCCTCATTCAACTGAATGTAATGCAAAATACTATTCTTAGATGCTATTTGCTATCCATGACGTCTTGTGTGGAGATAGCCACACTTACATACGCCAGTACGTATGCGCATGAACAACAAGTCATTCCTGCATGACGCTAGATAGGCTAGATACCCACGGGTATCACCCTCGGTGAATACCCTCGGGAAAACCCTAAAGGGCACAGAGTAGTACAAACAGTGAATATGTCTGTACCACGACCAGGAACTTTCTTGAAGAGTTGTTTCCATGTCGCCCTTGGGCTTCCAGGAATCCAAGAGCTATCAATTTCAACTGCTCGCGTAGACGCGTTTACTTCACACATAGAGAATAGCTAGTTACACCCTTGTTTTCATACAATTTGTAGAGTCTCATAACTTCTGTCCATGGTGGCGGGGTCGTAAGCTGTTAAGTCGGTTTACAGTAAACGCTTCCGCTAGTTCTAGGGTCTATAAGACTGCGATGACTGAAAACATAAAATGAATGTTGATGGCGCTTGTGCTCGAGGGTAAGCTACAGCGCAAGTTTTCAACCCTCAATCATCGCAAAGACACCTCCTAGAAGCCATTTGATTGATGAAAATAAAGATGGCACGCTTAATTACTAAACCGATATTGCTCAAGAGTGTACAAGATAAGAGGTGACGCCTTTGACAAGAGGCTTTTGTTGCTGGCACTATGGGCTTAGTTGTATTACTGGAGCCGCTGAAGCCCTGAAGTCGGAATTGGCTGTCGGCCTTCAGATGTTAGTTTTGGAAAATTTAGGGTGGTGGCATGAAGGCGCTAGTGTTTCGGGCATTCCAGGACGTCAACGGACAAAATCGACCCAGCTAGAGCGGCTGATCGTTTTGTTTTTCGCTTGAGTCTAGAGTGTAACCTAGAATTTCCAGGAAGGAAGTCCGAGTGATATTCCGAGCCAATCAGCAGGGTTAGAACAAAGAACACTTGCCTAAACTGCTCTAGCTTTGAGTGGTTTACTTATAGAGCTTCGTGGTTCATTGCTTTGTTTTCTCTCTACTGGATCATTGTACAGAGTGTAACTAGCTACTACCCTCTGCCGCAAATGTGAGTAGGGGTTAACCCACAGGTCTGTGTAATATTGCTTGACCGAATAAGTCTGCTCCGACTCTATCAACACTAATTCCAGTAGAGGCTCTTACAAGCCAGGTTGTGTTTGATATGTGCGATATGAATACAAAAGAAAGGACTAAATACCCCCGGCTACATCCACTGATTTATCTCGAGAGGCTCTATGTCGTCCTCGCTGTTTGTAATATCGGCTTCAATCCAGCCGGCGTTAACGGCAACCTGAAGGGCCTCGCAGTATCCATCAGTGGAAAGCCATACCTTCATGATGCGCGGATGAGGGGGTTTTGTGGTTCCTATAACTTCAATGAAGGACTTCAAACAATCTTGATACCAGTGTGACTGTTCCGGATAATCTAAGACCTGGAGTCCATCAATGCAGCAGGCTAATATTGGCGGTCCCAAGGGAATTATATCCTTCAAGAAACCAATTGCGTCGGGCAGCGAGCTAGGATCCGTAGTAAGGCGACGTATTCGAGCGGGCGAGAAATCCGGCAAATCCTCAGAATCATAGACAGAGGATAGATTATCTTGAATGAAGGCTAACATTTGAGATGTCAAAGAGTACACCATCTTCAAGAGCTCTTCTGAACGGGAGAATGTTTTGTACTGTCCCGAGTCATATTCACAGAAAAATGAAATGATAGGGACATGAAGCCTTCGGAATGTTTCGACAATGCGCGCTGTTATCAGTGTGTTTGGGGTCGTGTCACCCATTGTTGCCGGGCTTTCAAGCCAAAGCGCCTCGGATGACCTCGATTGAGTCCATTGCACTAGACGAGAGTATACCTGGGGGTTTGTGGATCCATAGCAGCTTTCCTCAAGCAGGCTCTCCTCCTTTTTGAAACAGACATATCTTTTCATCCACGCTGTGCCATCCAAGATGGTCTGAGTGGTCCAGTGATGATCATTGTGTTCGTCTTGTATTCCTGGCGCCACGCTTGCTGCTAATTTAGGTTCATGGATATTAGGCAGACCACGAATGACATATGAAGCGCCAGACGGGCTCTCAGAAGCGGCCTGAAATTGACCAGGCGTCCTAAACTGGTTACTGGCATTGGTGGCAGTCGGCCATGACTCACTATACCCGCCAACGAGAATTGCCTGAACCAACTGTCCCAAATCATAAGACATTTTTTCCATCATTACGGAGTTATTCTCATCACTCAATTCCTTCACATGATAGTCAAGATCGTTCATCGAGCATTCGAGCTGATTCCGGAAACTTCTCCCGAGACTATTCTTGCCGCGCTGAGCTCGTGAGAGTAACCAGTGTTCGAGTATTGAAACCAAGAGCCCAAATAACGTCTTATAGAACTTCACAATATGAGTTCTAATGTAATCGTTTCCCTTCGAGTTTCGAATAGCTTTGGACAGCTTGTAGGTTTTGTCGGAGAGCTTGTCAAGGCAGTCGGAGATTAACTCTGCAATTGCTTCGTGCTCCAGTGTAGCCTTTATCAGGAGTGTCAGTTTCGCGATGTTCAGGTTTAACAGGAAGGGTAGCTAAAGACCTTGATACAAGCAGTTAAGCCCCCGATCAAGACTGAGGTATACTTGTCGCCGGAAGGAAGCATATCAAGGAGGTACTTATGGTTATTAATTCGTCCGGCCACTTTACCGAACCATCCCTTCACCCTCCCCCCTTTTGTATGCGTCTTTGCCTCCAATTCACTTTGCGCTGTGCGCACAACCGCCTCAAGCCTCTCTGGGGTGGGATCGTTGATGAGTTGAGCGAGGTCGTTACTATCATTCCCACGCTTCTCGATAAGAGCTTCGATTGCCTTTTTCCACATTTCTTCGAGCTCCTTGGTTATTTCCTTGAGTTCATCAGACTCAGCAAATGCGATGGATGAGGAGGACCTTGATGAGAGTCAGAAGTCGACACTAGAAAGTGATTGCTCCCTTACAAAGCGTATTTGGACGGTGATCCATCCCGATATAAGCGAATTGTCTGGTCGGTGGATTCACTAAACAGCCTCCTTCCCTCACTCTCCTCCTTAACCTCCCACTTGACATGCTCGTCGAGGCTTTTCCTGTCGGGCCATCCGTCAGCATGTCCTCGTTCCCAAGATGTAGACTTGTCGATCTGGTTTGGTCACTCACACCCATGGCTCCTCAGGCTGTTCATTCTTGGCTTTGGAGCTGAACTGTCGGACATGTGTTATGGCCTCGCCTGCTCTACGTCTGAATCGATGCATGATAGCACAGGAAGGTGTTGACGTCCAAATCTGATGGATGGATATTAAAAATACCGAGATAGTTCATGGGTAAGTCAGATGGCAGAATAGATTAATATGACAGACTAGATCACCTGGCCAGACAGGTTACCAGTTCATCGAGGTTCGAACTCCCCTAATGCCTATCCTGATACCCAATTCCCGCTCAGAGATTATGTTGTCCTAGACACTACTCCGTACTGACTTGGACTAGCCAAAAAAGCAATACTCTCGCTTTTCGGTGGTTCTCAGCCGTATGGTGTCTTCTTCCCCACTCGTGCGAGGATTGATCCCCGATCCCCGATCCACGAGAGGTATCAGCTGAAGGTAAGGTATTGTTTGTCACCCCAAGGCTACACTTGCAGCCATGTGTAAGGTTCCATAACAGTTCACTACTGCCCTATCAAAGGTTTGCTCATGTCTAAATCCGGAGTTCCCGGGATCTGGACTCGCTCGAGCGCAGGCATGAGGGCTGATAGGTATGGTCAGCCACTGACATTTTCAAAATGACCCCTAGCTCCTCGGAGTGACTCCGGTTATCGCTGCAAGACACGTAGTATGATGTGCTTATTGCTATCAAGCACGGGATGAAACTTACCTACGCATGGGATAGATATCAGAATCAATTGATCCGAGCTTGCAGGGAGCTGAAAGGTGGAACAGAGGGCCGACAGATCGACATTCAGGTCTCGCCAAATAGCAGGTTGAGTTTTGGTCCCCGACCCTGAACACCGCCAATCTGGGTGAAAAACGATAATTTTTACGGAAGTATCATGATAATTTCTACTGTATACTCAGTAATAATTCATTTGTATTTCCCTGACCTATGAGTTTTTCGGGTAACTCAGGAGTACCCGAAGAAAGAAAAAAAGCAATATGGGGAGGTGTGTGGACAACCATCGGTAATTGGGTGCTCTGCTGTTGATCCTGATAGTGGCTTTTTGGTGAACATACGCCGTACTTAGTCCTAGCTGACACGTCGAGAATGGCGATGCACTCTTCAGCTTCCTTCTGGCCATCCGGGGGACGCCGATCGTAAAACGGCCACATCATCACATATTTTCTTTTGTCAATCAATCATCCCAGCGCCAGGGTACGTACCGCTTTAGAAAATACACTCTAGATGCGGCGTACATCAAATAGACCACATTTTCCGCAGGTCTGTAATCCCGAACCAGCACCCAGTGCTTTGGAATCTGCTCATCTATCGTTTTCTCGTCCCCAAACTCGTCACTCCATAGAAGCAGCTTCTGTCCAGAGGTATTCTACCATACAAGTTTGTCTAACTTTGTCATTTTACCATGACTCTCACAGGTGTTGAGACCTCACACGTTGTTGAGGTTGTTGACGATGCGAAACATTCTACACCAGGAGATGGCGCAACGTTGCCCGGTTCGGAGCAGGACGAACGACCGGAAGATTTGTTCAAGCCCATCAAATATACTTATGATTGCTTCAATTATGATGGTCCGGATTTTAAAGAGACCCACAATGCGCCCCTGCAGCTTAAAGTTGTGAAAGAGCCCAAACAGCCCTCCCCTACAGAGAAGCCCTCCTGTGTGTTTGAGATAGCGACAAAGGTTGAGGTCGAATTTCCTCGTGGTGGTATGCCAGAAGAGGCTGAAAGGCCTTCACTGAATTCCATGAAGGTGAAAAGTTTGAATAAGGCGAGAATGATCATTTACTCGCTGTCGCTCCTAGAAGCCATTCGAGAAGTCGTCAAGTACTACCCGAGGTAAGTCGTGAATGCGGTGCATGGGACGTGGAGGCTAATGAATAGCAGTAAAAAACCTGGTCGGTGACGAGGTGACAGTCCATGAGCCTTATAGGGTGCTAATTCATCATATCCGGGAACTGAGAGAACTGAGGGACCGATTAGACACTAACATCGCCGCAAATCCCGACGCTCATCTCTTAGAAAAGTGCCGTCACCTCGACGTGCTGCTACAATTCTTGGATCCAATGGTCCAGCGTATGGTACTTCCGGCTGACAAAAGACTACTGAAAGAAACACCCACAGTAATTTTCGATGACATATGGTATCTTCTGAAACCGGGATCATTGTGCTACTTCCTCAACGATAATATATGGCTTGGTGGAATCATCGAAAACGTGCAGTATTCAGAAAAGTCCGATGATGAAGAGGAAGCCTGGATAGTGAGCGTTATGTTTCAGGACAGTGATTTTCACCAACATGTTTTTGGTCCTGCACCTCGACCTATCTCCATAGAGGCTTTTGACGGTGAGAAGGTTGTGACCACATTGCCCGTCTTTCCATGTCAGTTTCATGATAGGCAGGATAATGGCAGTAGGCGGGCTGCCTTTCAGCGAAGGGGCGCCTTAGTCCGAGACATCGTATGGAGTGGCTATAAGTACATGAGATATAGTGGCACGTTCATGGACAAAAAGAAAAGAAAGGTGACTTATCTTTAAAACCGTCCGGAGTGACGAAAGTGCTGATCGCTTGCAGTATGATGGTCCAGTTATAATCGGGCCATGTGATCTCCAAGTTGATTTTCCCGAATGCGACTGGATATTCAGTTGGAAACCAGGCAGCATCAAGAACGCAAAGGTCGAAGATGATCAAAATCCGATAAGTTCGATGCTTCCGCTGGATTTGAATGCCAGCGAGTGTTCAAAATCACTACTCTCCGATGACCACCTATTCATGACATGTCCTGTCATGGCTGCTTTTGCATTGTCGACCAAAACTTGGGGTAAAATTAACCTGATACAGGAAAAAGGGTTTACTTACTAACTATGATTCGCAGAGATTGTGAACGTTGACTATGCAGAGCAATTGGAGGAGGCGACTACCATACCGGATGCAAATATAAAACCCGAAAGCCTTCAGATCATTAAGGCCCTGTCAGATCGTCAAATCAAAACGCAAAATCTCTGGTCCGCAGACTTCATCAAGGATAAAGGTGAAGGCGTTGTTGTGCTACTTCACGGTCAGTTGTGGTGCTTGATTATAGTTCTTCACGCTGTTTCATGTCCCTCCCAGCTGATGTTGTAGCTACATTACAGGGCCCCCTGGAGTCGGGAAGACGTATACCGTTGGTGAGTTAGCCCGCCAAGGCGCCTAAAATGGTTACTGTAGTATTAACAGCCACTCAGAATCAATTGCAATGAACACCGGTCGTCCCTTGATCAGTCTAACAATAGCAGACCTAGGTACGAAGGAAGATTCAATTGAAACTCAACTTACCAGTTGGTTTGCACTTGCTCAAAGATGGCGAGCAATTCTACTCCTCGATGAGGCCGACATCTTTCTCGAACGTCGAGAACACAAGGATATTGCCCGGAATGGAATAGTTTCTGGTATGTCGTACTCTATAATTGCTCGATCAAACGTTTGTCAGACAGTCACTAATTGCATTCTTGAAAGCTTTCCTCCGAAAGATGGAGTTCTTCAAAGGCTTGCTCTTCCTGACCACCAATCGGGTAGGCCACATCGATGAAGCATTTATCTCTCGGGCTCACGTCATCATTGGCTTCGAAAAGCTTGACCCGGAAAAGCGAAAAAAGATCTGGAAGAATTTTCTCGATAAGCTTCACAGGGAACAGAGAGGCAAGATTCGTGTCACCGCGGCCTGCGCTCAATTTCTTATGGGAAATGAGATGAGCGCGATGGACTGGAATGGGCGTGAGATCCGGAACGCTCTCCAGACTGCCATCGCGCTGGCCGAATACGATATGCGTGGGAGCGAATACTACCACGAGGGGGATGAGATCACCGTTGAGAGCGACCATTTCAAAAAGGTGATGGAAATGAACCGGTCGTTCCGCAGTTATATGAACAGCATTAAGAATAATACTGAAGAGAAACGCGCCCAGATGTTTTATGGGCGCAATGATGCTTTTACCCAGGATGGTGCTGCAATTGCGACTGCCCCTTCTGGCACACGACACTTGCCATGAAAATGTTGCCCTACATGGATGTGCTTTCACATAGACAACCCATCAATCTGTTCCTTTTCTGTCCCTGATACGCAGAATATTTCTTACTCGGTATGATCTGGAGAAAATTAACCATCGAAGACCAGAGTAGATAAATACAACGAGGTCCATATCAGATGATCATCATCTAATAGCAGTGATCTAGTAGCATTATGTAGTAAGGCTAATCATCATACCCTATTCCAATACTCTCGAAGCAACCCACACAAGACTAGAATATTTACACAAAATTCACAAAATCGACACTACCAACCTCTTTTAATCTTCTCCTTTGCCATTTAAATAACGTATACTTTCACAGTCTCGCAATAAGTACAGCCTTAGTCGAAAGTTTCACAGCAAGACCTATGGAATACCGCCTTATCTCCATACCGTGTTCTGGCAGCTCGCACGGACCATTCCCGTCTAATGCCTAACTACTAGCTCTGCAGTCTGCAGACTCCAGTCGGAGTTTTGCACACAACTCGAGCTTAACAGGCAGACAATCGGTGCTCATAAAAAGCAATCCAGTTCTAATGACAACGGTATTCTCGGTCTATCGGCTAGCTGCGCGTGCTACCGTTCTGCAGGACTGCAGTTCTGCCCTCGGGCCCATTGCCGTTCGGACGCCCGACGGACTCCCGCGACACCTTGAGACATGGCGGGACCATCCACCGTATCACAGCCATCCAGCAAGACCGAGTGGAGGTGTTCAGGGCTCTGTTCATCACAATATCGGCTGATTAATGCCTCTTATCACTTGCGAATGCCGAAGCTTAGCTTGATACGCCATCAAGATATCGTCACCGACAATCGTTATCATCACACTACAGGCCCGCAGTTTCCGCCTGTATTTCCTCATTAGGAAATGAGCATCGCATTCATCTTCCCACGAGGCCTCTTCCGAGGACAGCCGCTCCAACTTTCTTGCGATCATGCTTGTTTCTCCTCTCGCATAGCTGTCGCGAGCTTCTTATTGGTACCTTCGTGATCCCTCGTTGCATCCTATTCGCACAACGCCCCGCCAGAGATGTTTCTGC